CCTATGCCTAATTTGTAAATAATTGGGATCGCAAAAATAGAGTTCTACGTACGCAGCGTTCAAAACATCAGGAGGATGAATTGGGCGATCTCCTCAAAGACGTATCCGGTCGTTGGAGTTGCAAACATTAACTATACGGCAGAGCGAGCGCACGAAATAACGATACAATCTTTTCGAAAAACAAAAATTCTTAACGTGAGTAGTGCAGTTTACCCGAAAACAAGCCTTCATTGTCGCGATGATACATGTTTCAACGTGCGCCAAGAGCAGATGACTTGCAGCGGTATCCACACTAGCAGTTTTTCCAACATCGGCCACACGGTGGAGACTCTGTTTGATCTCGAAGCGAATAGCGGAGAAGGGTGGCTAAAATCTGCACTCTAAAAAAAAAAAAAAAGAAGAAGAAGAAAAGCGCCTTTGCCGGACGACTCTGGCTCCAAAGGGATATCTTCCGGAACCAACAAGGACGGTGCTGCTCTATCATAGGGGTTAAGAAAAAATGCTATGGTACTTTTTATTTAGCTTTATATTCGTGTATTTTTGCGTTGCCTACTATAAACTCTCCTCCCCCCTCCCCTCACCCCCCCCCCCCCTCCCCGCTTCTTTTTAAGCACATCCGAATTGAGTGTATTTTACAAAGCGTCGTAAAAGGCTCCGCATGCCTTCTATCTGTTTAACGTTGGTGGATTATATAGTTTTTTCTTAAAATTATGCCTACCGTGTTAGTACTTGAAATGGTGAATTTAAATTTATTAATTATAAAATTTATTGCTAACAGAAATAATTAATTTAATCATATAAACCCCTTATTTTTTCCCTTATATTGACATTTAACAGAAACCATTAACAATACAGCAACTTTTTTTTCGATGCGCACTTTTACCAAGAATTATTTTGCCCGCATTTCATGAAACACAGCTATAGCTGAGTGCTTTTCTTAACAACATTACTTTTATATGGTATAGCTTTTACAGAAATGTACAAAATATTACCCTGAATGTCACTGTAACAACTAATACGGTAACAGGCAACAACAAAACCCTTGTGGTTATCAAGTTATACCTGTATTCCATAATGTAGGCATAGTTACTTCGAAAAGGTAAAGGGCGATTCACTCACTTGCGTTGAGTTCGACCGACTAGGAGGGTTGCTGGCCGACAGTTAACAAAACATGTTAAATACGATTTTGTTGGAGCCGACGCAGTTCTGTTCGACTTAGCAAGAGTGTGAATTGGCCCTTTGCTAGATTATTTGTAGTCACACAATTTTGAACAGCAAGATACCGACTTTTGATATACTACTTCTCTCGCCTTGTTTTCGCGGTGATAGACCTTCCCCCTGTGACGAATTTGGGCTTCACGGTAATGTGCTGTGCATACAGTTCTCAACTGCCGGAGGCAGTGGCGTCCGCCAACATTCAAACTTTGCCGATGGCTCCTGGAAGGGGATGGGAGGCCTTAGGAGGCACCGCAATAAAACAACACAAACATAAAACAAACTGAGCAATAAAAAGCTTGACTTTCCATAACCTGCAGTAGAACAGCACCTCTGTGCAGCCTTTCGCGGTTGTAGAAATATTATATTTGGAGCCTACTTTATGCGGCAGAGCTCCTCTAACAAAAACAAGCAAGCTGAGTATAATGAACGTTTGTGGTCGTTTTCCTTTTCAAGAGTTTATATTTTACCCAATGTTTCCCCATCACATGTTAGTTTAAGCACCCCTAAAACGGTTAATGCGAGTTTAAATAAATTTAAAACGTGGAGTTTTTAAAAAAATTAACATGGAATCTTGCCACAATTCGAGAAATGAGCTGCGTTTTTGCATTAATAACAGAACTACAAAAAGGCTAAGCATAGTTCCTTATACATTCGTAAAACGAATTTAAAGATTTTCATTCTGATATGTTTTGCGTAGTTTTATAGGAAGTAGTTCGTTAGTAAATAATATCTGAAGGTATCTCTAAAAGTTGTTTGTCTGTCCTGTTTCGTACGTTTGTTTTCTGCATAGAAATGTTTATGAAAAACATTCATTATTTGTATACATGGCGTAAGTATATCATAAAATGTGTTAAAGAAATTATTACAACCTGCATGCTTTGGTGTTAAATTGTCGACTGTGCAAGAAAGTACCATAGCGAAATCTTGGCAATCTTCACGTCTCGAGCTTGGAAGTTTAGTTTCTCCGGAGTAAAATTAGCTAGGGCGTTCGCATAGAGTTGAATGCTCCTCCTAAGAACATAAAATATTATTTTAGAGCGCAGCTCTTAGGGGCCCGTTCCCGGCTTGAGCGGCGTCGGCGTCGGCGTAACTAAGGTCACCCCAAGGTCACGCGACCCCCACGGTCATCCCAAGGTCACGTGGCCCCCAAGGTTACCTCAAGGTCACGTGACCCCTCCCCCAGGGTCACGTGACCCCAAGGTCACGTGACACCCAAAGTCACGTGACCCCCCGAGGTCACGTGACCACCATCCAGGGTCACGTGACCCCCCCGCCAAGGTCACGTGACCTCCTCGATGACGTCATCGTCACTGATGACGTCACCGGCATCCACATCGTCGTCGTCATCATCACTGATGACGTCATCAGTGACGTCACTGATGACCTCACCGGCATCCGCATCGTCATCGTCATCATCACTGATGACGTCATCAGTTACGTCACTGATGATGTCACCGGCATCCGCATCGTCATCGTCATCATCACGGATTACGTCATCAGTGACGGCACTGATGACGTCACCGACATCCGCATCGTCGTCATCATCGCTGATGACGTCATCGGAGCCCGCATCGTCATCATCACTTATGACGTCATCAGTGACGTCACTTATGACGTCACCGGCATCCGCATCGTCATCGTCACGGATGACGTCATCAGTGACGTCACTGATGGCGTCACTGATGATGTCAGTGATGCCTTGGGGCGTCACTGACGTCCCAAGGCGTCACTGACGTCCCAAGGGCACGTGACCCCCCCCCCCCAGGTCGCTTCACCCCCCACCCAAGTAGCACAGAATTTTCTAAAATCATCGGCCATGCCTCGGCCATTGCTAGGCCAACGATCAATTTGGTCGGCCACCGGCAAATCCTCGGTGGACAACCAAAAACCATGGTCGGCAAAAGCCAGGCCACCGATGCCTCGAATTCAGCTCGGCCATTGGCAAAGGGCAGTGCTCGGCAAACTCTCGGCCATCCAAGGTATTTTTTTACATGTTGGCCACCAAGGAAGGGCCTAGCCCGGCATTTGCCCAGTTGCCAAGGCCTTGTTTTCACCTCGGCCACAGGGCAAAAACACGAGGGCCGGCATTTGCCAGGCCACCGAGGTCTCGTTTTCACCTCGGCCATTGGGCAAAAAACAAGGACCGGCATTTGCTAGGCCACCGAGGCCTTGATTTCACCTCGGCCATTAAGCAAAGACCGAGGGCCGGCATTTGCTAGGCCACCGAGGCCTCGTTTTCACCTCGGCCATTGAGCAAAGAACGAGGGCCGGCATCTGCTAGGCCACAAAGGTGTATCCAAGGGTCGTTTTCAGCCTGGCCATGGAGCAAATACCGACGCGGCATTAGCCTGGCCACAGATGTATAACCGAGGTCTCGTTTTCACCTCGGCCATTGGGCAAAACACAAGGGCCGGCATGTGCTAGGCCACCGAGGCCTTGATTTCACCTCGGCCATTAAGCAAAGACCGAGGGCCGGCATTTGCTAGGCCACCGAGGCCTTGATTTCATCTCGGCCATTGAGCAAAGAACGAGGGCCGGCATCTGCTAGGCCACAAAGGTATATCCGAGCGTCGTTTTCAGCCTGGCCACGGAGCAAATACCGACGCGGCATTAGCCTGGCCACAGATGTATAACCGAGGTCTCGTTTTCACCTCGGCCATTGGGCAAAAAACAAGGGCCGGCATGTGCTAGGCCACCGAGGCCTTGATTTCACCTCGGCCATTAAGCAAAGACCGAGGGCCGGCATTTGCTAGGCCACCGAGGCCTTGATTTCTTCTCGGCTATTGAGCAAAGAATGAGGGCCGGCATCTGCTAGGCCACAAAGGTATATCCGAGGGTCGTTTTCAGCCTGGCCATGGAGAAATTACCGACGCGGCATTAGCCTGGCTTTGTTTTCACCTCGGCCATTGAGCAAAAAACAATGTGACATTTGCCTGGCCAGAAAAGGCATAGCCGAAGGTCATTTTCACCTCGGCCATGGGGCAAATAATGCTAGCTGTGGCATTTTCATTGCCACTAAAGGTATAGCAGACGGCAGTTTTCTCCCCAATCTAAAGGCAAAATAACATGCGAGAACAGATGTTTGTGTTTGTAGGTTCATCATGTTGCAGGCAACAATACTCAAGCTCTAGGCATCACTGTAATGCACTCAAGGCACTGGGGTGGATCAGCTAGGAGGCATCCAGATAGAGGTCTTTGTGATCTGAACATCATATGACGCACCCATTCTTATTGAACCTTCATGTTACAGCACCTGCTGCTTCGCTGTGCAAAAAGAAAAAAGATTGACAAAAACCTACCTAGTTGCAATTGCTCATGATAATCAAAGTCTAGGCTAAATTGCAGTTGCACTAGCTTTCCAACAACCACCTCCGAAGTCTGGCACAAATGATGTGCAATGTTTCTTGTCTCCCCGTACAAAAAAAATTGGTGTCATTTACAGTGTATGTTATCTACTAGGCAAACAAACAACAAAGAAACAGTTTACCGATTTCACAAGAATATAGTCTCCGAAGGATATATATATTGCCTAGTCCAAAAATTTCAAAGGTGTTGGTGGCCAGGCTGTTGGTTAACTGATCATGAATTCAATGGACACTGGAAGAAAGGGTCATCAGTTCGATTCACTGTCAGATTAAAAGTGCATGTCCCCAGGTTAGTCAATTTATACCAGCAAAAAAAGACACCAATGTGTTGAAATTCGAAATATGTTTGTCCTGTCCGCCTTCTTTGTATAACTCTTTCGTATTTTTGAATCAGAGCTGTTCAAGAAGTATCCAACCTTTGGAAGGAAAAAATACATTTATTTGCCTTGAGGTCTAAAACTCTAATCCCCTTCAAACTACTCCCCTTGGGATAGCACACACTTCAATGTTTGAAAGGCTTAGCTGTTTATTCAGCCAGCTGTTCCGGTGCCCTGGGCCTCTTGTGCCGTAGTTCACATGGTTTCTGAATGAGCCGAAGTCCTATCTTCTTTGATGACTTGGCTGCCTCCAGTTCCACATGGCCCAAGCCTCAGCACATTGCCTGCAAAATGATATGAGAGCAATTCACTTATAGGATCAAGACAAACAAAATTTAATTTAGACTAATAGCTTCTTTTCATGTCACCATTTTGGAACAATGTTTCTACCAAACTAGACAAGCAGAAAATCGAAGAGTTGCCACTCATATGGCTGCATGAAAAAGTATAATCTGCTTGTAACACTGGAATGTGCTTGCCAGAGGCGAGTTACAGCATAATGATGTGCTGTATTACCAATTTCATGTGATCGTTTAAAATCCTCTAAAACTGTGAAACTACGGCACCTGAAAAAAAGTATATGAAGTATACAACCACTACTATTTGCATTGAGAGCTGCCACTAAATACTGTTTTGTCTGAACTAAAAAAAGTACAGTGGACTCGCAATAATTCAAACTCTGATATTTCGTACTGCCATTAATTCAAACAAATTTACAAATTTAGTTTTTTCCCTAAATTTTAATGCATCTATAAGCTGTTTAATTCAAACAATGTTTTCGCTCCATTCACACTATTTGTTCATTGCGGAGGGTTAGCCCCGTTGAGTGCGCTTCTCATCGAGCACCTGTGTACTCCGGAAAAGCAATACACGCGAAGCTCGTGGTCATTGCTTTGCCGCAGTATACGGGTGCTAGGTGAGAAGCATGCTCGATGGGACTAACCCATCCCGATTATGCAAGGAGCACTGTTCTGTCAATCTGCTTTCATTAGTTGTGCTTTGATTTTTCTAAGGGGGATTAAATTCCAGATGAAAGAAAGAATATTTGCATATAGCAAGCAGATTTATAAATTCCTTCGATTAGGATAGCTGGCCGTTTGTTTAGGTTTAATTTTATGTGAAATCTGTCATTTACATGCCACCCCAATGTAGGCATTGGACTTACAGAGGCCACAGTTCATATATGTAGTTATATTAAAACTAACTGAGCTTAGAAGTGGACAAGGGGAAGGTTGGGAACAACCTTCACAAGTTAAGCTGAATTTTTGTTTAAGCACGGCACAACAGTAGTAAAAGGCTTTGAGAAACTATTCTATATTCAATTAGAAAATATTCGGCCAATATTAATATTTGCTTTAAGCCTCACCATTGTTTTATGTGTGCCCTTTTTTAAATAGGCCTGTGCAGAGGATAGTATAAAAAACTGCTTGGTATATGTAGTTATTGCTATAGCAATTTCATACTTTGCCTCATATCACTTTTCCATAAATTTCCGATAATTCAAACTTCTCATATTTCAAATTAAAGTCTGTGGCTTTCAGGAGTTTGAGTTACTGAGAGTCGAGTGTATTAGAAAATATTTCCGGTCCTCCAAAAACCAAGAACCTGAACATTGACTTCAAGCAACAGCTTTTCTAGCTGCCAAATAAGTAACATGCCACACCAGAAGTGTAAAGCTTCCTTCAGTGACATGAATAGCAACCTTACACAAAAGATGAGCACCAGGTAACTTATGCACAGGAGGCGGCTGTCGCCATGTAGGAAAGTAACGCAACTCGCAAACGTCCCTAACACAGAGGGGCATGCCCACCCCAAACTCCTGGATAGCCTAGGTCTGCTGAAAAGCCTCGTCCATCTATCTTGGAGTCCCCAAGTAGCAGCAATCAAGAAGTCAACTTCCCCTCGAGGCAGACTGCCCTCAAGCCCCTCCCAGTGGCCTTCGTTATACCAGAAGCCCAAGATGGATTACGTTAGTAAAGAGTCCTCTCGCTCGTTGCCTAGGAAAAGGTGAGGAGGAGCATCACCACTCGGAAGGTCTAGGGACCATTAACGCAGCACATCTCTATCTTCTGTTTTGGTTTGATCACATTTACACTGCATTGGAAAACCATAAATGCCTGCAGAAGCAAGTCACTGGATCTTGGAAAAACAGCAGTGGACTGTTTTTCATTATTCCACACTGTTCATTGTTAATTTGTTACACCAGAGACCGCTATTTCACTAGAAATGGCAGTTGGTGGCTGCACTGTCATTGCACAATTAATAAGAGCATGAGTCTCTGGCAATGGAAGTTTTTTTAGTAAAACTGGTGCTCTAAATAATGTTGTGGTTCAAGAAAATGATGATGATGAAGATAAAAATTTAAATAACACTTGAATGTGATGGGTTTTAAAGCCGCAAGCCACATGGTCTTGAGCAGAGGTTGGCGACACCTTTTGTCATAAAAGCACCTTCAAACAAAATATTGATAAACATTAGATCTCTCTAAACAAAAGAGGAAACCATCACTTCATTCTGTGATTTTGGTTTGCTTCAACTTGCAATAATTTTGACATTGCCTTGAAGTTTCACTCTAAAAGAAATTTCTTATGATGAATGTACCGAAGACTGGGCCTCAGCTAAATTTAAATGGAGAGAAAGGTTCTTAATTAAGCGGCACACAACAGAACATATAAAGGGAGATTTTAAAAAACCCTTTCCATGGGTGCACTTCCACTTACAACCATCTCCAAAAGAAAAATATTTTGCTGGACTTTAGTGCCTTCTATAGAAGAGTACGGCTGGGCAATGGATAGAATAACTGACCAATTAATCAAATATTGCTTTAATCTGGATTATTCTGTTTATCCGGTCAACCGGTAAAACTTTGACGAACCAAAAGAAAATCAAAATTAAATGCTTTTACCATAGAGAAATGGCCGAGTACATGCATATGAAGGGCAAAGTTTAGGTGAAATTTTAACCTAAAATAAACTGTAAGGGCAAGATTTGTAACTCCAGACAAGGTGCAGAGGGTTACATGTGCTCTGGCCACTTTAACATATATTGAGTGTCTGTTTAGAACAGCGAGAACAATCAAAGGAAGCCGCTCTTGCCGATGAATATCAACAAACCTCTTTGCCTCATGCAACTCAAGTAATAAACTGCGAGTGTGTCCTCAAACTGTTGTCAACTATGTATTGAAGTTGATTCATAATCAATTTTGTATACTGTTTATCAAACATTCAGCGAAGGCAAACAAAAATATATATAATTTTGAGTATGCATGGAAAGGAATGAGAATGATTAATCTATTAATAATCGGTTAAGGGATGGCAATTATAATGAGGCTTAAATTATAATCAATGCTCAGCCCTACAGTCCAGTCATTGTTGCTAGAAGCTGAAATGACCAAGCGACGACTGACAACAGTGGCACTGCCTTAACAAGAAAACTTCAACTAGCGATAAAAGATAACGTTCAGAAGAGATTGCAGTGGCATGATGCCTGACTCGGCTTGATCATGGTTGAGAACAGCACACCTTGCTGCAGATGTGCTGCTCCTGGCATTGTTTATAGTCACCATTATGTTTGCCTGCTGAGTCATAGGACAAAGTTATTGGGCTGGGACAAAGGCCACCGGCCCAGATAATTGAGGCGCCAACAAGCACGGCTAGGCGATAGCAAAACATAAATATGACTCAAATCGAGGTGCTCCTAAACGATGAGAAACAGGCAGAGTGGCATAGCAGTGGCCATGCACTCTTGTCCTCAAACCGCCTCTTATTGCTATTTCAGCATCTCTTGTAGAAGCCCAGCAAGCAGTGGATTTCGGTCATTGCACTAACATTTCAGCTTGCACTGTCCAGGACTCAGCACGACCCCCAACATACTCAAGGACAGAGATACAAAGAAGCAACCTACTAACCTCTGTGTAAATGTGATCAAAGAAACAGGGAATACCCTCGAGCTTATAGCCTAGAAAATAGAAAAGCACCATACACAACATTAACTTCCTAAAAGAGAGGGACATCAAGCCTGGTTCTAGGGAAAAAGATATAGGCTAAAAAAGTTCTTCCACTCACAGTCAAAGCATAGGAAAGACTTATTCACCACAGTTACAAGCTTCAATTTTGTTACTGATTCTTTCAGTATAAATTTGTGGACATTCTCTTGGGTCAAAACGTTTTCAGGACAGATCCATAAAGGGTCACAATTATTCCCTCAAATGTTTTCACAGTTCCAAATACTGACCCCTGTTTTTATGCAATCCTTGCAACAAATTCTGCAAGAAAAGCAACAAAAAAAAACCACTTGAATAAATGTAATATTTGTGCGCCCTTATGGGATCCTGCTGAAATAGTTTTGACCGAAGGGAATGACTACAAGCATATACTGCAAGAATCAATAATAATAATATTGATAAAGCATAGAAATGCGTTGACTAAGCCCTTTCTGTGTTTCGACTCTGAGTGGAACAGGCGTACAGGGACGTAGCCAGGGAGGGGGAGGGGTGCTTATGGGGCTTCAGCCCCACCCCGAAATCCAGCCGACCCTATAATATTATACACAAACATTTTGACCCCTTACCCCTCTCCGAACCCGAAGTAAAGGACATCCCAGCCACCCCCCCTAAAAAGAAAAAAAAAAAAAAATTCTTGGCTATGCTACTGCTTTTTGCCTGTATTTTTTCGTTAGAAACAAGTTCGATGTCCACCCGTTTTTGGAAACTTGACCTTGTGTATGATGTTTTTGTACTTCCTAGGTTAAAAACTCAAGCTATTCTTCTTTCAACCACATTTATTCAGAGGTTCGTAGGTTGCTTCGTTTCATTTGTTGTCTTGGGGAACTTCGGGGTTGCGTACAGTAGAAGGCTGCAATATCCGGGAACGAATTCCCTTTGTAGGGTGGTTGTAAGCAGGAAAATAATATTTGTAAAGAGTGCCTTTGTGTCTCCCTCTTCAGGGTTGCCTATTTATTTTTAGCCCATTCTTTTAGACTTCAGTGTTTGCATCATCCTTCATGAATCCCTACTACTGTATTGGGTGATTCACCTTGTTTAACCTGTGCCAGCTTGCACCTCGGTTTTGTTCTTTAAAGAGACACTAACACGCCCTAAAAGAGACACTAACACGCCCAAGCGATTTAATTTGTGTCAAGAGACTAGCCAGGAAATATTTTACTACACAGCCACGTATATATTTAATAAAGCCAAAAAACTCTGCAGTTCGAAACCGAAAAGACGATGACGACGAATTTGCGTGCACCGTTTGTCGTGCGATTATTTCGCACGACAAACGCTCAATGTCTGCGCTTGAAGATCAATTGGCTGGTATCACAAATGACCGTTCCGAAGTAAAGACCCCTCATCCGTCGCAACGTTGGTGCATCATGCGTCACCATCGCCCGCAGTACGTCACTGTATTGAATATGATATGCATACGTACTTCCTGTGATCTGTGTAAGATTTTTTTTTTCAATCAGCAGTTTTGCTGGCTTTTGGAGACCACAAAAATGGGGTCCATATTCTTTTTTTTTTAATGTTGCGTGTGTGCCTTAGATGATGCAAAACTTTGAATATATTTGGTACATACAGTTTAAACCCCAGATAACCATGAAAAAGAGAGTGAATGTGATAGCAAGCAACCAATTCAAGAATGGCTGTTTTTGAGCAGAAACAAACAAATTTGGATCCGCAAGTAATGTTCTGGGTAGTTGGAATATCGTAGGTCATGTTTAAACAAAAACCTCAACAAGCATAAACACCATATCAATGTCCCTTTAATAGATTACGAGTTACATTTCTAGACACAAGCATAAACAATTTTTGTGATTAAGTTGCAAGCACACAGTTAATTCATAGGAATGATTGAGAGCATACTTTTGTTCACTAGTGCTGATACTGACTAAATGATAAACCATCATTTAAGACAAAAACAAAAAACGGTGCAAAGGACAGAAGAGAACAGACGCATAAAACACAGTGCTACGGTGTGTTCACCTCCACCTCTTTTTCCATATTTCCATTCTTTGTTTCTAACCCATTTGTTAATAATTTTTTGTTTGGGATTATTTGTGCTAGGAGTTCACTGTAATGACCCACCTGCCATGGCATTCACTTTAGGCGCAGTTCTCCCTTCAAGGCACCACCCTCGAAGAAGCGCTGGGTGGGCGTCCCTTTCACTCTTGTGATGCAGTTCCTCAGGTTCCCGTAGGTTGCAAGCTGCCAGACAAGCCAGCTGAGTCAGGAAAACCAGTCCTGCAGCAAATTTCACTTTAACACTTTTAGACGTAAACACCCATGCACCTAAAAGAAGACAACACAAACAGCAAAGCAAGTGGTTAGTCCTTCTTAAATGACTTCTTTCATTTCGCTGGGAACATATGTATAGGTCACACACTAGTGTACATCCAGTGGTATGGCTTAATTTTAAGATGAGCACTCTCTTATATAACTTCAAACTTATCTAGAAAACACTGAATATAATGGGTCAGACATAAAAGTTATTTAAATAACCTGTATGTTTACTCAACATTTCCTTATATTATACACAAACAGTAATGCAGTGTGGGGCTGTGCATTAATTACAAACTTGCAACCGGTTAACAGTTGACATTTATTTAAATAATTGATCAGTTAACGAGTGACTCGGAGGTTTATAAAATTGTTAACATAATTTGAAATTGTGAGTATTACAAAATACAGTTGGAGAATGTAATTGCTGGGATTCCCATATCCTATGCAATGGAGGAACGAAACGTAATAATGAATCCATTTTTATTTAGTGGTGTGTTTGGCACACAATCAAAGGTCATGGGTTGATGTGGCAGAAGCTGACATCAAATGCCAGCTACTAAGTATTATTGAAGTAATTAAAAAGTGAGATTTGGAATGCAATGCAAATAAGTCATTATCCTCCAACAGGAAACACAACAGCAAATTAATATGGTATAGCCCTTAGACAAGGATGCTGTACAAAGTTACTCCCTGTAATGGCCCACGAGCTCCCCAAATGAATAAAAATAAATAATAGTTCGTAATGACATAATAGGGCAACCTTCCATCAACACAAGTGACGTCAAGACAACTGTTATCGTATGACTGCCACGAAGCACGGACATCCACACAGTAGTCAATATATGCTGTCATTTCACTCAACTCACGCTACGATGCTTGCTAATCATGTCAGCTTCAGCCTGGTCAGGGTGGCACCTATAACAAAATTCAGACTTCACTTTAGTTTATGTCATGAAGAGAGACACACCATATAATAAGTAAAACAACCTTAACTAGAACTTTTAGCAAGGAGGAGGGTGCAATAGCTTATTGTACAGAACGTCTATGAAAAAAATCGAACCCTGGTTTTTGTACCGCAAAAATAAACTAGACTTTGGAGAAAGCTCAAACTCCGTTAGAACATAGCCGCAGCCATTCAAGCGAGATGCTCAAGTTTTAACGCATATCATTACCAGAATAAAAAGTTAGAGGTGGAAAACTGTTTTTGACTATAAGACGCCGTCCCTGAGAAGCAGCAGACAGAATGCCGCTGTTTGTGACAGCATCTCACAGATGGTGCCTCCACCTGCCAAGGGTCAGAGCCATAGATAGGGGAGAGTTAGGCCATCCATTGTCCTCGGTGAACCCATGCGGACCCTTGACTCCTCCCAACGGCATTGACGTTGGCCCTAGCAACCACGTGGCAACGATGAACCCGCTGCACATGACACGCTCCTGACCACCATTTTTGTTTTTATTCCCCGTACGCGTGCATAGGCTACTCTGGAGGTTTACCGGCTCCTTGATTTTCTGAGCTTTTATTTTCAAAGACAAAAATGATTTGTTGCTGCGCCATCGGGTGCTCTAACAGCAGCCATGACGGCTTTCAGTTGTTTATTATTCCGAAAGAAAAAAATGAGGGAAACTCTGGCTAATAAAAATAAAGCGCGACACGTGGACGCCAACAGCTGGTTCCCGACTTTCTGAGGTAAGAACCTTTTCATTTATTCCAAAAACTTTCCACTATGGAAATGATCACTTGTGCCTTGCGTGATCGCATCTATAGCTACGATTACAGACGGTATGAATTTATAAATTACTGTCAATAGCATTGATCTGGTCATATATGCAGTTCAAACTTTGGCTCAACTCAAGAAAAGTGAGACATAATTAGTTCGTTGCAATCAAGATAAGCATGGTGCGATCACTAAAGCTATGATCTTTGTTTGTTGCATAAAGATATACGAGCACATGGAATTTAAATGAAACAAAACGGCAAAGGTAATTTTAATTATGTGCATTTCTCATGTTCACTATCTGCAACATCTAAGGGGCCCTGGTTATGACAGCCCTGTTTAAACTAGTGACTGCTAAGTAAATTGAAAGTTATAAGTGTCCTGGATTTAATGTACATAAAGCAACTAAGCATGTAAACATTAATTATAGGGCATTATAAGGTAAAATAAATTATATTTTTCTAGGCACTTTCAAGAATCCCAGTTTGAGCAAAATCGCGCAGATGGCTGGATGAAGCTGAAGCAGAAGACTGCCATTTCAACAGTGTTTGCACGTTCTAATCGCAAGAGAAGGAAATCACCAATGATGCGAAATGCTCCATTACCAAAGGTAAGTGTGCCACATAACGGGTGTATTTTTTTTTATTCGTTCACATGTACCCCAAGCAAAATAAATAAGAGTGACATTAGGACACTTTTAATTTTGCCATTTGCTTACCCGACTTGAGGGACATTAAGAACAAAATTGTTTGTGGAGTTAGGCGGCTAAGTGTAGTTAGGCGAAGCAGCTCAGCGGCTCTGCTCCGCAAAGACGCTGTGCAAGCTTGTACAGCGTCCCAATAGACCTTTTTCTAAATTTCCCAAGCACCGAGTGCAGTTACAGGCATTGCACGTGCTGGCGTCTGCAGTAGTAATTGTTCAAAAGCAAAAAGTCTAAAACAAATTTTGCCTTGCACGCACGTTCGTCAAAGCCTTATTATGTTTATTTACTTTGAATCTTTTATAAGAGAAAGGCCAGCGCGCGCGGACCGTAGAATTACACTTCCAGCGTTGTTCTCGATGCTTGGGTAGTTTAGAAAAAGGTCTAATGGGACGCTGTCTGCTTTTGTGTGCTATCAATACCCGGCCGATTCAGTCAAGGCAATCCGCTCTCCAAAGACGTTGCCATGCCGACAATTATTGCGTTCATTTAGGCTTAGTAATGGCCAGAATCAAAAGACTATAAGAAAATGCGGCGAGGTCATTGCTCATGCTTTGCGATTTAAGTAAGGTAAGGCAAAGTGAAAGCCTCCCGCACCATTTGTTGCTGACTAACGCGCCCGATATTAAAGCTACAACGACATATTAGTTCCAAAGCGAGCGGCACTCACTCACCGGGGCACCGCCATGTTTCCCCGCATCTTTACCGAGCCAGTCACGTGATATAATAATCCCTCTCCTAGGTACTGCGGCAAACTTTAGCCGCTGTTAGCGCTTTGAGCAAACGGGCCCAGACTATGTTGTTCACGCGTTAACTGCAGTTTAAGGAACGCTAGTTGGTTATAAAATAAAACTGAACATAAGCAATTAATGCAAGTGCATGTAAACGACTGTTGGCATTCGCGAGGACAGAAGCAGATGATGTCTGCTTCGGTACTTATCAAAATGCCTTTTCACAGAAAAAAAAAAAATTCAAGTGACTACAATTTTAGGTTTTTCAGTTAGTTTTATTTCCTTCTATAAAGAACCGACAAAGTTGGGGACAAGGATACAATACTTTTGTCAGGTATTGTAACTTTGCTGCCAGTCGCTCGGGTTAGACCATTGAGGGAGCGCTGGAAGCCTCGAGGGCAAGTGGCGCCATCTGCACAACCTACTCGGCAACGGCAAATGAAGATCCGGCATGGAACAAATCAATTTACGACTGCATCTCAAAAGACATTGGCTCAACCTTCCAAAATGAACCGATAATGATTGTGGGTGACTTTAACTGCCATATATTAGAACTGGATGGTAGGGAAAGCAAAGCAGCAGAACTCAGGAAACTAGTAAAAAACACAGCATAAAGGGGGGGGGGGGGGTGCAACGATTTCCGGACTTCGGTCAAAAATTTGTGGAAGTTGCCCTCTGACACTTCTGAAGTAACAAACAGAAAACCGATTTCTCCAGCGTGTCCTAGTTGTTGCATAAAAAAAGATAAATATTGGCATTTCGGGCACCCCTCAACTCACTTCCAGTCTTCAGGGTCACACCGGGTCCCCCTCCTAGTGACGTCCTTCGGAGTGCCGTGTGGGTTCCCGTGTGCTGTCTCGGAGGACACTTCCTCTCCCTCTCTCTGCTGACAATAGCGGGCGTTAGGCTGCAGCTTAGAGCCGAGCGAAGTCACGTAATCTTCTAGCCGTAGTTCCTCCGGCTGCCACTTGCGGCTGCAAGTGGGGGAAAAAGCTCGGCTTTTGCTTTGCAATTATGCAGCGGAATCGCAACATTTTGAAGGAAGGAAATGGTTTCTCTATCCCCCGGGGCACGATAAACAGCGTAAAAATGAGGAGATGCAAATTCTTTTAACCATAAAATTGTTGAACCCCCCTCCTTTAACTATAGTTAACCTGGAGCCACAATGCAAGGGAAAAACAACCTGGAGCCGCAACAACCAAAAATCAACAATTGACTATATCCTCATAAACGACGAGGCAGGCAAAGAAAACATCTAGATGCTATACACATAGACGAGAGCAAGGTAAGCAGCTGTGCAAGCAATTATAACAGAATACTGCTAAAACTAAACACCAACAACCAAAGACAGAAAAAAATAAAAACATCCAGGAAAACCACTGGAAGCTAGGAGCAGAACATAAAATAGAAAAATTTGCATCAGAATTGGAGAAAAAAATTACAAAAGACAACACATATGAAGAACTAATGAGCCTAATTACCCAAACAGCCAAAGAACAAGTGGAAAAAACCAGGAAAGGGAAACAATAAAACCGAAGGCCCTGGTTCGACAGGAGGTAAAGGAGGCAATTGGGAAGACGAGAGATCAACAGGCAGCACAGGTGGGCACAACGAAAAGGCTACACCCAAGACTACCTGTGGGAATGTTTTGAAGAACAAAGAGTTCGAGTGAAGGCACTATACCCCGTTTCACCTCATGTTGTACCGCAGCGAAGGCTAGAAGTGTGAGCTCATAGCGTTGGCAGCTGCCCTTGGTGCACGAGAGCTTGTGCCGCCGAGGTGTGCCATTGAGCAAGGAGCTCGCGCTTGTAGCCTTTCCTGCGGTACAACACAAGGTGAAACAAAGTATAGTGGCCACAAAAATTCAACAGTTCTGCAGAAAGACAGAGGAAGACATACTGAAAAAGGGGAAAAAATCTAACGAGACATTCTGGAGACAAATTACTACAATGCATGCAGAAAAAAAGAAAGAACAGACACGTATGCTGCAAAGAGGGGGCAAAGACCTGAAAGAAAAATGCGAAATAGAAGAATGGATGACTGAGTACTTCTTACAGCAACAACAAAAAACTGAAGCAAACCCCGGAAGAGACATACAGTCAAAAAGAAACTTTGGGAAAACGCAAAATACAGAAGCATTCCATACTAGATCCTATAACCACGGGGGAAATGAAGAGGCAAATAAGACGACTGAAAAACAAGAAGGCAACCGGTATGGATGATATTCCGAACGAGTTCCTGAAGGCAATTAAAAAAGAGGAAGCAAACAACCTCAGAACATGTTTTAATGAACGCCTGGTGTCAACAGAAATACCGTAAGTGTGGAAACAGGCAAGAGTAAAGCTCCTATATAAAGGGAAACAAGCAGACCCAAAAGACCTCAATGCCTATTGACCAATCGCAATAATCAGCAGTCTGCAAATTATTTGCAAGCATAATAAACCACAGGCTACAGATCTTGTATGATAAAAACAACTTTTTCGTAGAAGCTCAAAATGGCTTTCGGCAAAACAGAAGAACAAGCGATAACCTATTTACGTTAATCCCAAGCCATAGAAATGAAAAACATCCAGAACTCCCAGTTGTTCCTGGGATTCCTAGACCTAGAGAAAGCATATGATGCAGTACCACACCAAAGATTATGGGATAAGATGTAGAAAAGCGGACTCGAAAAGGAAAGTGTCGAACACCTGAAGAGCTTGTACAGGGGTTGCGAGGCCTGGTACACATTAGAAAACTACAAATCAAAACCAGTACCAATAAGTATTGGACTGAGACAGGAGCGTCCCCTATCGCCAACACTGTTTAATGTGTACACAAACGACCTTCTCAAACATCTCAAACATCTGGAGGAGGAAGGGGCAGGGTTGGGCTTGAGCACTACGACCAAGGACGGACAGGAAGAATACATGCGCATCCCATGCCTGGCCTTTGCGAATGATGTGGTGCTCCTCGCAGAGTCCTCAACCGATATGCAGCACATGATTGACATCTGCACAGGGGTGGCAGCGAGGGACAACCTGAAATTTAATGCAGGAAGAACGCAGTGGATGGGCTCCAACGTGAATTTGGACACCAGCTTTTACCTACAAAATTAAACAGTACAGAAAACAACAGCCTACAATTACCTTGGTGTAACAATAACGCACAGCAAGGACTACCTGACCAAAGAGGAAAAAAACGTAATTAAAAAGTCAAACAAACTGAAGGGGGTGGTGTGGCATCTCGCCAGGCACTCATACAATAGACACTCTATTGGGAGGCTACTATGGAAATCCCTTGCAGTCCGAGCAGTGACTTACGCGAATGATGCGCTTACATACAGCGAGACAGTGGTAAAGTGTCTGGATCGACATCAATACAGACTGGGGAGATGGCTGCTGAGCTGCACAGCAAACGCAGCGGTAACCGGGGAAATGGGATGTCTACCCACGAGATACGAGAGGACAGGTCGAAGCTTGCATACATGGGCAGACTAAAGTTCCTTCCCCAGGAGAGCTACGCCAGAAGGATGTACTACCACATCCGATATCAGGGGCCCAAGACAGGCTGGATGAAGAGAATAAAGACCATAGATTCTAAGTACGGTGGGGGCACAACAAGACATCTGGTGACGACGGAACAGGAGTGGGCGAGGACAATACGGGCAGTGGTGACACGGGCCGGAATAGAGGACTGGAGAAGGACAATGCAGAGGATACTCAGCCTCCAACTGTACAGGAAACACAAGAAGGAACCAGCGCCCTATCCACACTAGCAGGGAGACCGAGCCAGCGCGCTGCTGTTCCAGGCTCGAACGGGCTCCCTACTGACCCAGAGACGCAGATTTGAGCTCTATGGAGAAGATCCAAACTGCGAGCTCTGTGGCGGCGACGAGGAGACTGTCGAACACATCTTGGGACAACGCAGTAGCATCGACCATAAAGGGCAAAGCGCGTTGTAGTGCGGTATAGCACAGGCCCTTGGCTACGGAGAAGAGGCCGAGGAGGGCAGCGACGACGACAGTGACCGTAAAAATTACACGCCACATGGGGACATGAATCATCCGACGGAGGCAACAAAACGCCGCCTCGTGGCGTGAGAGGGACTTTGCCGAATCGCAAAACCCCTTGCCTAGAGCGGAACGCCTGAACTGTGGCCTGAACAACCTCAACAATGCACATCCCCCCCCCCCCCCCCCCCCCACCCCCACCCCCCCCTTGCCGCCCTACCACGCACACGCCCGCTGTCGCACAAGCCGTCTCGCTAGCAGACGGACGGAAGAGCGCAGTGGCGCAGCGAGCGCAAGAGAGAATTTATCTCGGCCTCAGGGTGCGCCGTGCGTGCGGAGCAAGGCGACGGGCGGCGCAGGTCGGAGCGCTGTTTCAGCTCATTTTGTCCGCGATAGTACAGGTTGAGAAGTTGAAAGCAGATCACCCCGTTATCATGTCGCTAGTACCACGGCAGAACTTCAAAATGAAATATTAACGATAAACTCGCGGATACCATAAGAACCCCCAAAATATCGCCGTGAGAATGCAATTGAATGAGGGCACTCTGGGCACAGGGTATTTTTAAAGAGCGAAAGCAATCCGCGAAACCACGAAAGAGACAGTCAGACATATGTGGTCGCTCCCATCAAATGTAAACAATAAAAGGTTTCTATATTCACTTACCAGGTTCCCGAACAAATAACAAGTGTTCGAAAGAATGTTGCAGATAATATCTCACCTTTAAATCCGTCAACACGTCCAAACGACACGTCCAGATGAAACTGCGAGTCTGCGACGCCTTTGAAAAGATGGATTGTCTTGGCCGGCCGGTTTAACGGTTTTACCGGTTTTACTTCAAAGCGCTGCCCATGCAAAGAAACCGAAACTATACTTGAGGTAGTTTCGGTATAGATTCCGGCAGGTTTGAAAGATCAAGGAACGAAAGTAAACCCTGAGACAATGATAAACAAAATAACAGACAAAACAACTTGCCCTCTCCGTTATTTTATTTCTCCTTGTCTCAGGGTTTAGATTACGTTAAAAAAATTAAATGCATTTTTTACGTGCGTTGTGTGTGTGTGTGTAGGTGTGAACGCGAGAGTCCGTGTGCGTGCCTCTGCGGATGCGATTGCGTGTGCAACACTGGTGTGTGCAGGCGTGCATGCGTCTGTGTGCATGTGTGCGCGGGAGCGCGCGCGTGTATGCCACGTCCCTGTGCGCGTGCGTGTATGTGTGCGTGCGTGTGCATGTCTGCATGAATGTGCGTCTGTGTGTGTGCTTGCGCGCTCGCGTGTGCGTGCGTCTGTGTCTGTGTGCGTTTCATTTTGTTAGCCCTGGACATTGGTGACATAATTTTTTTTTAGAAAGGGGGGGGGGGGGGGGGGGGTCCGTATGCCGCAACCTACCGCCACATTTTTGGGGGGGTATTGGGGGGATTCCCCTGGCTACGCCACTGGCCCTGGATGTAAAACAAAATGTAATTTGTGTAGCTAAAAAGCGGCAGAATATTAACAGTAGCGGTCAGGTGTGCCTGCGGAGACTTTCAAACTTCGTTTAAAAATAGGGTGTAAAAAGAAAACAAAAAGTCATTTTGGGAACAAACTACGGCCAACCTACTTCAAAAAGTGCAAAAAAAAAAAAAAAAACTTTTAAATTTTTGCAGTGAAGACAAAGGCACCGGCACGAGCGCGTGGCTTTTGAAAGTGCCTCTTATGAACGAGTGCTCGTACAAACAAAAGCACACTACTGAGCGATGCTCACGCGCCTCTCTGCGCCTTTGTCTTTACTGCAGACATTTCTAAGATGGAGTATAGTTAGAATTTCCAGCGCCTTTGGGATGATAGCATCAGTGTCCCGAAATACTGTGACGTCATCTTGGCTGCAAGCCATGCTCACGAAATCCCTATTTCTATACTGAAAGCATTTATGAAAATAAATATCCTTTGCATTTAAAAATATCTTTAAGGGCACACATTGCACTTCGGGCATACTGTGAATTAGAGTAGCTCGTCTTTATATTTATTCATTTTCATTAATTCATTTATATTGGTTGTTGAAGTGCTACAAATATTTATTTTGGAAAATGTGACGAAGCCATAGCATAAAAAAACAATAAATTTTGCACAAAAATGCACAAAAAATAAATAAATGCAGGCACAGTTTGTACTACGCGACGAAGGGATAGCACAATTGTTAAAAAAAGCACAAATAAAAAAATAAAGGCAGAGTTTGTACTAAAACAAAAGAAAGCGTCATTTCCAATCTCCCTTTCAAATCACGATTCCAGAGATGCTACTAGTGTTTCCGAAAGCGTTATTTTTTTTTTTTTTTTTCTCCACCTGGTTTCCGAAACCGAAACCAAAAGTATTCAGAATTTACAGTAGCACCAAAACAATTTTGCACAAAAGCGGTCACTCCAAAAATATTGTCGCAGGCGCGTTAAAAAAAAAGCCGTTGTTTATACGACGTGTAAAAGAAAAAGTAAAAAAGAAAAAAAAGAGCATTTAAAGTTTTGCGTTTGTGACCACCACTTGCTCCGTAGTTCCAGATGGTCTGGCACAGTCTGGCATACGAATGGGAACCGCGCCGTCGTCGACGTCGCTCTGTGGTTTGCGTTCATTTCTACCTTTAAACCGATTCCTTTAGGTTTTTTTTTTCTTTTTTCTTTTACAGGTACTTTGTCAAGAGTAACAAACGATATCTGGGAGACGCTGATGGACGCTGCGTCTAGTCAACGACCGTAGGTTGTGCACGGCTGCCGGAGCACCTTCGGGAAACGCTAACCGCCGGTAAGCAAGTGTTTCTCTTTTAAATTGATTCGATAGCGTGTTGATTGAACATATTTGAAGGGATATCCAGCTAGTTTTCGTTGTAGATTCAAAGTTTGAAGTGAGACGCATGCCGAAATGACAGAGACGAGCTTAGAGCATCGCCGCCGGGCGTGTCACGTCCGAATAGATAACTGTCGAGCCAGTCCATCCAGGCTGTCCCTATTCGCACTCCGAGTGCGGATAGTGGGCGCGTTAAGTCGGCGCTTCTTTACTTCTACTCCGACGCTCCGAGTTTCATACTCCGAGCGCAGCAACTAAACGGCGCATAGCGTACAAGAGCGCGATACACCGAGGCTGCGTTCCAAACCTACTCGAATGGATCCGAGTTACACTGGCCGATTATGTCACGTGACAACAAAAATAGAGAAACGCTGGACGCGGGTAGGTTTTCGATAACCACCTTTACCCTAGAGTTAGATCGGTAGATCGAGTAAGCTCCTTCCGACCGTGAATACGGGTGGCAGAAGCCGAAAATATTTCGAAGATAAATAATTAGGCCCGTGTGGAGCCGCAGACTCTAAAGCAAAAGAGACTGCAACGTATGAAGTTTCTACGAACGTTTT